TTTTCATTTGGCTCTAAAGCAGGACTAATAAAGAAAGGATAATTAGAAATAGGAAGATACTTTAGTCATGACATTTATAGATTGAACACCCCTCAGCTAAGATGCTGGGGAGTAGAAGCATTTTGGATTTCCATTTTTGAATATATATATTCAGTCTTATCTCATGTACAGCTTATCCACATAGTCTGACTACAGGTTTTGCATCATGTTTTGGGTACACCTGTTTTATGACTCAAGTGAGGTCAGGTTTCCATTTGTGACTCTAAGAATTCTGGATTTGGGGACATTTGTAGATGAGGGATATTGAACTTGTAGTAGTCTGTTTGTTCTTATTAAATATCTAAATATCTAAACTATTTAATAATTTAACTGTGATCTGCATGGTTGTGCTCTTCAGTTGTGTGTAACTGATGTGGGTTGCCTGCATTCTTTGACTAGTGGGAAGTCTCTCATTGTGTTTCAGTGATGACAGCCCTGTTAGCTCTGTCTTGAGCATAAACTCATTCTCTCTCTCTCCCCTTGTTGAAAAGATATTTATACAGGACTGGATAGCATCTAAGATGACCTTCATGCCATATTCTAAAGTCCTTAAATTTTTGTTTTAAGGTGACCAATATGTCAGGGTGGCTGGTCACTGACTTGATCAGCCCAAATATGATCCGGTCTCAGCAGGATGCACTGGGTGGGCGTCATCAAATCAGCATCAACAACACGGCTGTCATTCAGAGGCTGAGATCCACGTACTACTGGGCAGCTCCTGAGGCCTACCTCGGAAACAAGGTGTGTGTGTGTGGGGGGGGGGCGGGGAACAGTGTCCTGCTAGAAATCTCAGGGAACACCAAGAACTCAAAGCACACTTCCTGGCCACAAGTTTGCTCGTGTTTGCAGCCACTGTGCATAGCACACCGAGCACTGAGCACTAGATCCCTTCCACCCTTATGGACCCTATATTATAATATCCCATCATCCTCTGCTCTTCTGCCTCTGGTTCCTCAGTCTTGTGAATCTCGTTCTCTTCACCATCACTGACTTTCTCCTTTATTCCTCTGGGTCCTTGAATAAGTCAGACCTTTATGGAGTGTTAGCAGCAAACTGCACAGGGGCCCATAGCACAGTCCAGGACACCCAGGAGAAGGCTCCTCCAGGGGAGTGTCTGCTCTGCTCCCTGTTTCTACATCCAGACAAACCGATATGCATGTAAAGGTCACAGAGGACCAAAATAATGCCTATTTTAATTTAAAGAAAATGCAAGACAATGATCTATAGCGTTGATTGCCCAGAGAGTTGATTTCTAATGTCCTCTCATTAGTGTTTGGTTCCCCCTCACCACTGAATTATGCCCCATCTCTCCAGATTCTGACTGATAAGTAAATATACCCAGGGGGTCTGTTTAAGTAACTCTGGTTTGTTTTATGGTGACTCTGTACCCTCATAATAGACTTATCTTGTAGTTTGGTAAGCATCTAGTTAATGTTATTTCTATTTTTTGTCTAATTTGTATATACATATATGTATATGAATATATAGAGAATGAACTGCTGCCTGTCTGTCTATTGATCTTTCTGTTTGGGGAACAGACTATTACTTTGCATCCCTGGCTGGCCTCGAATTTCCACTCCTGGCTCAGAATCCTGAGTACCAGAGGTATAAGTGTGCACTTACACACATGGCCTAACTCGTAGATTATAATTGTACAATATTTTCTATTATAGGATCTTATCACCAGAGAGCTTTTTTTTTAAAAAAATAAAAGTCAGATTTCATAATTGTATGGTTGTAGTCTGAATTTTAGGACATAGTCCCTAGGAAGAAACTCTCCAATACACATTAGTTGTCCCTAGCATACATTGACGGACATCCCTAATACATTGACAGACACTTCTAGTATACATTTAAAGAAAAAACAATTAAGAGAGCTTCCTTTAAATGACATATCTAATAAGCTTGGCATTGAAATGAAAAGGTCCATGTAAGTGAAATAAACACGGCTGCCAAGATGGCCCAGCAGGTAAAGGTGCTTGTTCCTGAGTCTGACCCGAGTTCAGTCCCCAGGATCTGCACGGTTAAAGGAGAGAACCGGCCTCCACAAGCTGTCCTCAGACCTCCACACCCCTGCCCCGGCACATACACAAGCAAATGTGTTCAAAATTATGTTTAAGATTTATTTATTTATTTTACATTTGACTTTTACCTTGGGGACCCTGAGGAATTGATATATGTACACACACACACACACATATATATATATATACACATGTATATACATATATACATACACACACATATGTGTATATAAAACTTTCTTCTGCAAATGTCAAGGATTTCCTCATCATGCTCATATCCACTAAATAGTATCTAATATGCCTTTAGTGTGAATTTCCCCCCTTATCACCATCATGATGGATGTATCCAGGTGGATCCTAGCAACAGTTTCATCTGACTTAAGGCTATAACTATTGTCCCCTGGTCCTCACGCTCACTGTGCTCTTCCAGCTGACGGCATTTGGCGGGTTCCTGAAGTACACAGTGTCTTACGACATTCCGGTGGAGACAGTCGACAGTGACCTCATGTCTCATGCTGATGTCATCATCAAGGTGACTGATTTGCATTGATTTGATGTAGAGCTTGGGGTCTGGTGGAGTGGCATACACATGAACACACACGTGTGTGTGTGTGTGTGTGTGTGTGTGTGTGTGTGTGCCATACGTGTACAACTGCACATACACACAATATAAAAAAAATACAGTTAACTGCCCCTTCTCTAGTAACTTTGGATTGGGTCATGTACTCCATTACATGTTTGCTGTAAGAACTTGTTTGCGGGATACAGAATTTCAATTTTTGGTCACTAAGTTGCATTACAAATGCCTTTCCTCTCGGTTTCCTATGCTAGGGAAATGGGCTTACTCTGAGCACACAGGCTGAGGGCCTGTCCCTACAACCCTACGAGGAGTACTTCAACGTGGTTAGGCTCGTGCCTGAGAACTTCCGGGACTTTAAAACCAGAAGGGAGATCGACCGTGACCAGCTCATGACCGTCCTGGCCAATGTGACACACCTGCTGATCAGAGCCAACTATAATTCTGCCAAAATGGCACTCTACAGGTGTGTACTGAAAGGAAGGAAGGAAATTGCTACAGAGGTACTTGGAGATAGGTCATCTTGTCTTTAGTGTTACCTATGTCAAAAGTAATATACATATGAGAGATACAGTTCAAGGAAGTAGGTGTGTTGAAACTGCTTTCACGAAGGTAATGTTGCAGACACTAGACGTCCATAATGACACATGTGTCTGATAGGAAACAGACGATTTTAGGTTCAGGAGCCTTCCGGGGCAATGCTTCCAAGCAGTGCTTAATGAGTGACCAGCTCCTGAACCATTTTGCTTCCCTGGCCCTTCTCTCCCTCCCTCTTCCCTTCCTTCCTTCTCTCCCTTCAGTCCTCTGGTGCCAATGGCCTTGGCTTTGCACGGTTATTTGAGCTACTGAATCCATCCTTGGTCATTTGGTTGCCTTGAGGAGGTCAGTGTGTGGAAACCAAGTAGAAAATTGGATGCTGCTAAAGCAAACCTGGGGAAATCCAGGGGAGGATTGTCTCTGAATTCACGATGAGGCAGCTGGTCTTGGGTGGCGGCGAGGTGTGTGTGTGTGTGTGTGTGTGTGTGTGTGTGTGTGTGTG